TATATATATAATTTATCTATATCCTATATCTATCTATCTATCATCTATCTATCTATCTATCCCACCACTTTGTCTCAGAGCAGAGCAAATCCTGTCCTTTTATACCCCCAACTCTGATGGCCAACAGACACTTCTTTCGTCCCTTCTATTGCCCCTCTTTTCTTTGGATTTATAAGAGATATCTGTTCTGAAGGCTGCTAGGGGGTGATTTAGTCATAGCTTTTTAATCCTTGTCTTGAACCACCTGATGTAGGCATGGAAGTCATTAACACTCAATTTTATTTTTCAGGAAAAAGGACTTATGTTTTGAGCAGAACATCAAATCAGAATGATCTAGAAAGTTAAGTTTTATTATTTTTAGTAGGAGCAATGCACAGGTAATGAATCAGTTTATTGCAGCACACACTATGAAATGTGACAAAGTACTCTATTACTATTAGATAACCTTTGAGCTGCTTATCGTGTCTACCAGGCAACAAGTTACTGACATTGCAATTAGTGAAGCCCAGTAATGCCAAGACTCTGAACAGCCGTATCTAAGGTCAAAAATATGACACAGACCTAATTTGCTACTGACACAGCTCATTTTGGTACATTTCCACAGAGATTTCCCTCAGCATCATTTTGTTTGCAAAATGTCCTTTCTTTTACAGAAGAGAAACCTTTCCTCATGTTTGCATCTTCCGTTTTAGTTTTTCCACATTCATCATGGTGCCTGATAGGTTATTTTTTCTTTGCAATCCTGGAAGGGAAGGTGAAATACCTGGCACAATCTGCTCCCTGCCGTTTTTCTTCTAAATCCATAACAATGACTCTTACTGAAGAAACTGGTAAATAAACACTGCCATTGCATTGCCAGCTAGTTCACAATGTCCCATTCACTATAATTTTTGTAACATATGTTTCAAACTTACATACACAATTTTCAGGGCAGCATATGCCTGTTTAAAAATCTATTGTTATGAACAGTTATTAATTCCAAGCCCATTGAGGAATGATTTGGGGACAATTTGCACAAGCAGACTTTTTGGATGGTAATTAATTAATTTTTATTTTTAAGGAGAGTATAAAATAATATTAAAACAAAAATTACAGATTATATAGGATTTCACTAAACAAAATAATATGAATTTCACAATATTTGTTGTATTGCATAGTGTAGTCTTCAAATTAGTTGTTTATATTACCAGATATATGCCTGCAAAATTGGAAAAAGAAAGAAATATGTAAGAAATTAAGAAGAGAAAAATGAGGGCCAGCAAGATAGCTCAGCAAACTAAGCACCTTGTTAGGCAAGCACAGGGATGAGGGTTCGATCTCTCAAACCTCATGCCATGCTGGTTCCACCCCCGGGCACACTGAGCCAGGACCGATACCTGGCATGGTAGCACACACCTATAATCCCAGTGCTGGGGAGGCTGAAAACAGGAAGATCACTAGGAGTCTGAGCTGCATCCTGAGTCCCTGTAGCAAACACATAAAAAAGCATTGATAAGCGAACTTGCAGTTTTCCCCTTTCATTGAGTCCTTTCTTTCAGGGGGAAACGCTGCATCTCTCCCACTTGGTAAGCACTCAGAACCATTGATAGCATGTGCTGGGTAATGTGAACAGAACTGAGATGAGTGAGGGCTGCTCTCTGGAGGACATGGGAAGTGGCAGTATTGCTGTCCAAGGCAGGAGGGGCTAAAGTGTTCTTGTCTCCAGCAGGTGATTTCACCTGGCTGGAGGACTGTGTCCTCCCATTGCACGTTAGGGTACCTAACCTGCTGGTCCCTGATTGCTGCTACACAAGATGGCCAGTGAAGTGTCTCCACCCTGAGAATGGGAAAGAAAACACAGCCGTGTTGTTCGAGGTCTCTGAGACTATAACTCCCAACTTCTAACCCAGTTTTTCTGAAAAGCTTTGTAAATTAATATTTAAAAATCTGACTTAGGGATTGCTTGTGCAATTTAATGGTGGCATCTACAATGACAAAATATTTTTATTTTCTTAAATTAAAAAAATATATTTTTTTTGGTACCAGGAGTTGAACTCAGGACATCGCTTTTGCCAGGCAGGCACTGTGCTGCTGAGCTATCTCTCCTGTCCCATAAAATACTTTAAATGATAACATTGCAATGTATAGTATTGTAATTGTATTTTTCTTTATGAACTTCAACTCTTTGAAATTATACAATGAATCATCGCCAAATCTTGGTAAAATCTATGTTAAATCCTAATTCTTTAGGTAGGAAAATGAATTTTTTATCCCTGTGTTAAAAAATACAAGGAAGACTTACCTCACACATCTGCACAGTGCAAATGTATTGGATAGACTGAGCCGTGGTAGCGTTGGACGCCTTGAACCGAGTTGTAAAGCCCAAAACAAGGGCCGGTGAAATACTTCAGTGGATTAAAGTGCCTTCTTAGGCAGACACAGGGGCCGGGAGTTTCATCCCTGGGCCTGCCGTGATGGCCCCACCCCTGGGGCAACCTGAGATGGCAATAGAGACTGAGCATGGTGGTGCGCACGTGTAATCCCAGCTCTTGGGAGGCTCTAAACAGGAGGATCACTACAAGTCCAATCTACACAGTGAAACGCTGTAGACCCTGACCTAAAATACAAAAAAAAAAAAAAAAAAGAAAAGAAAAAAAAGCCCAAAACAGAAAGAACCAAGAGATTCCTTGAGAAGAACCAAAACTTTATGAAAATATTAAAAATGCTGAAAGACATGTCTGCACTGAAAAAAAACACAGGGAGTTCTATATAAAAAGAAAAATATTAGGGTTGGCCAAATAGCTCAGTGGATTAAAGTACCTGCTTAGGCAGATGAAGGGGCTGGGAGTTCGATCCCTGGGCCTGCCATGCCAGTCCCACCCCCGGGCACGCTGAGATGACAATTGAGACTGGGCGTGGTGGCATGCTGCTGTAATCCCAGCTCCTGGGAGGCTGTAAACAGGTGGATCACTATGAGTCCGATCTAGTAGTGAGACCCTGAACAGCCTGTAGACCCTTCCCTAAAATACCACAAAAAAAAAAAAGAACTTAACCAGCAACTACAGTTTTATCGTAATCTGTTTACTATAGGAATCATCCGGCTTCAGTGCAATTCCATTTCTTAAAAGAATTTATTATATATTTTTATAGCACTTCATTTTGAATTTTGTTATTTTAGTGTACCGGTTTAACATAACCTTGCTACTTGCTTTGTCAGATCCTGGTGAGCCATCTTCGCATCCTCCTCCTGCAGTAATATCCCCACACTCCCAAGACTTCTCTCTTGCTAGGTGAGGGGAGGAGAAGGGCCTGCACTACCACTGGTGTTCTCCACAGGTTTTGGGTGGTTAGTGATTAAAGGGAGAAAGCCGTGCAGAGCAGCAGTGACTGACTCCAGGGACCCACACAGACCTCTGTGGGAGCCACCTGGGAAGTTATTCTCACTTCCAGGTGCATCTGTACCCAGCTTTTACTTTTTGCTTCTCTGTTATTTTGCCGGAAGTCCAACCCATTAAAAAACTGAGATTTTAAGCTTTGTGTTTAAATTGTAGATCTCTGATACAGATGTGCCATTCCTGCCATTCCTGCCATTGACACATTGCCTCATCACTGATTATTTAAAGACACCCTGGCCTTGGGATGGAGCTCTGTGTCGAGTACTTGCCCAGTATGTGCAAGGCCCTGGGTTCCATCCCCGTACCACTTAAGAAAAACAAAAGGTTCTGCTGTAAGTGCATCTCCATGGCCATTTGCTGAGAGAAAAGGATCTTTGATGCAGTAGAAATGAGAAAGAACAGGGTCTCACTATGCAACTTGGACTGATGGTGATCCTCCTGTTTTCAGTCTCCCTAGTGCTGGGATTACAGGCGTGCGCCACCACACCCAGACTCCATTGCTGTCTCAGCATGCCTGGGGATAGCACTGGCCCGGCATGTAGTGCCAGGGATCAAGCCCTGGCCCCTACACTTACCTAAGCAAGTGTTTAGTCCACTAAGCTATCTCACCGGCTCTTGCAGTGTTGTCAAGAATGTACATACAACAGTCTGTTTTGATGACACATTCTGCCCAGTGCTGCTGTTAGAATATCTAGGGCCATCCAGTTTTGCAGGATGATGTACCTTATTAAAAAATTACTGTATCGAGCTTTATTAAAGATTATTTTCATAAACAAAAAAATACAAGGAAAAAAACCCCCAGAAATTTCTTGGGGATATATAGTGTCCTTCCCTCTGTGCTTCCCCTCCCTCCATTCTTTGTCAAAGGTGTGAGAAACTAAAAATCCCATTGTGTGGAATTTTTCCGAATGATTTGGAATTGCTGTAGTATAATTAGGAAAAGATGTTCGGAGTCCTAAACATCTGGCTTACAAGCTAACATAACTAGTTTGGAATGATTAGAGTCAATTGGTGGTAACTAAACATTATGACAACCTTATGAAGTAATGTGAGTTTACTTCTGAGTCTCAATGTAATTTTTACTGAATTTGTGTTAATTTGTCAAATTGTGTCAAAACATTATTTTTAATTGTATTTTTATTAAGTTCTCCTACACCTAAATTTTTACACTTGCCAATGTGCCATACATTTACCTCACATGCCTTCAAGCAATTTGTCTATGTGAATGTACATGTGTATATGGTTGTGTGTTCACAATATTAATTGATTTATATATATATATATATATATATATCCATATATTCATTTATATACTTTTTTTAGTGATCTAAGACTGCTTGTTCCAAGCAGTGTGTAAATGTCATTCTCACACAATTCTCACCAACACTTTATGATCTTCAAAATTTATGAAAATACATAGTAACAGGACAGAAAAAAACCCCTTAAATTTTGGCCTAATAAAACCATATGTAAAATTTTTTTAAAAAGAAAATACATAGTATCGTCAATTACTTGATCATTCTAAGGTTTCTATGCCTGTTTCTGTTCTCCATGTCTAGGCGGCAAACGTTACTCAGCCATGCTTTCTTCTCTTAGATCTCAGTCATTCTGTTTATGTGCTTTTAGGAAGAACAAAGGATCATCTGAAGTGGATGACATAGAGGAAAAGTTGGAAAGCATGGGCACACTTGCCAACAGTGTCCCTTGTGATTCCCTGGACATGAAAGGAGGGCACATCAACGACATCTTCATGACGGAGGATGAGCGGCTCACCCCTCTTTGAGTGGCTGCTGCTCTGCTTCTCCAAGACGCTTAACACTTGTTTCTGTGTGACTGCAAAACACCCCAAAACACCAAGGGCAGATTATACATTTTATTGCATTTTATTTTTGTTTCTGAAGAAATGTTGAATGTTCTTGAAAGTGATACGCAATCAATTTTATCTATAAAGACCGCTGAAATTATAAGGAGTTTTCTATTCAGAATATTTGAAAGTATTTTTCTTACAACACAGTATGTTAAGTGTAGTCATGTGGTGCTTAGAGTTATTGATTTAAGCTTTCCAGAGACAAAGCTAGTATATATATATATATATATATATATATATATATAT